GACTATTATGCAAATTATCTGTCTATTATGTCTTTGGCTGATTAGCTTTCAAAACAATGACATGTGCTTTTGTTTTTAATTAACAAAAATTGATTTTTACACCCTATAAAAACATCCAATTCACTTGCTTTCCTACTAAGTGTTTGCTCCTTGTAGTCCAGCGTTGAAAAATACAAAAAAGTAGAATTTTGGGTTTCAAAGCAAAAAAAGGTGTACAGCATCCTTAATGACTCATTCTGCACCTCTCATCTAATCGCAAGACAGGTTTGGGAACTGCGCATGCTCGGGTCTCTGCTTCAAAATATCCGCGTAGAGGATATTGTAGTTTTGCTCTAGTGTTTCGATTTTCACAGGATTTAACCTTTAGTTCGAATAAAAGTACATGTAATATAAGTCGATCTATAGTTTCTACCGATATCATGCTTGAGTTGTGTGAAGCGGATCGAAATATAATTTCGAAAATCGTGTCATTTTCGGGAAATTTTGATGTCATGGTGTCCATGCTTTCCTATCTTGTGTTATTATATGAGTGGTAGGCGAATGTACCGGCGACTGATTAACTATGCCGTCCCTACTTTAGGTATTTTTTTATTATCCAAGAAACGTTCCGAGCGCCTGTGGATTGAACAGCTGAATATTTTAACGTGGTCGTCTTTACAAATCACACACATTCGAAAAAAGAAAATGTTTAACTTACACGTTGTTAAAATGAAACATGTCATCACAAATAAACGGCCTTAAAGTCGTCATTGTTCTGGCGGTCAAAATTCACACGAGTACGACCTGAAAGGCGGTTGAAATCCCTGTAAAAATAACCGGCGTCAGTGCAATTCCGACTTCTCACATGTCCGCCATATTGATGAACTCCCTAAGTGCTTCTTATTTTGCAACGTTATTACGCATTTGGTTGGGGTTCAAAAATACCGGTACAAGTCTGAAAAGCAGATCTATGAGTTATGTGGCTTGAATGTTAAAGAGTGGTTTCTTTGATTATTAAAATCATGTAGTAGTTGATTGGCTTATTAGATTCAATTACCATGAAAAATTTTAAATAAACACTAAACCAGTTTTCATGAAGGTGTAAATTTCAGCAAATGAATAATCACTGTTATTCGGAATCTATATTTTGAAGACATCCTGACAAAGACCCATGCCCGGGTAATGAGTGTTACAAAATGCTTCTGTAGCAAATAAGAGCATTTTCCTTGAACCTAAATGAAATGTAAGGGTGAATTCTGGATAAATGTTTAATAAATAAAAATTTATAATATGTCCATAAAATAAAATCATGCCATCATCGGATCTGGGGTATCATCACAGAAAATGACTCAAAAATGCAAAGGTATGTTTGGCTTAATTATTTATACTATCCACACACGAAACCCATTACGAACACGTTTATAAATACTTATATATTTCAATGGCAGTTACAACAAACCAGCCAAGTGCACAGTGCACAATGATGTCATTTGAAAATGTTCTGTTATTCTATCAGCCAATAGAAATATCTCAGTTTCAGTTTGAATTGTGATATTATAAAATAAATGGGTTTTTGTACAACTAGCACAATGGCAAAGTGATGGACAAGGCGAGTATAGCAAATCAGCATCACAACTGGTGATTTTCCACATTATAAAGTGACAAGCCATTGTGTTACTGGTCATGATTGAGAATCCCAGGTAGAATCATTTTAATCATTTAGTGAAGGCGTAAAATTGTTGATAGGGAAATTATGTTGACCTTGCCTGCTATAAAAGTGTATAAGTAGGTAAAACCATGGGACATCATAGAGATGTCATAGTCCTCACAACACCCTACTGTCTTATTGAGTCACTTCATGTAATATCCCCTTTATCAAATGAGCGACTATGCACTGAGGACCCAGGTGGACAAGGATGTTGGATGTGCCATTACAAAAATGGTTTTCATTAAAATCTCGTCAAAATTTGTGGGTGTCTATATAGGTAAAAATATAGTTGAAATGCTAGAGTTTGAGCACCCTGTGGAACAGCACAGCTTATTCAGGATAAACAAATACAACTTTGGCGGAATCCTAGCTGGTTCTACAGATACAAATGCTCATACAGAAATGTCATATATTCCTGACCACAGTAAATGATTTTTCTGGTAAAATGCTGTATGCAGATTGAGTTTCCGCTTGTAAGTTGCAATTGGCAAACGTCACAATATGGATAAAATGACTTGAACATCCAGAGACATTGACACAAAAGAATACACTCATTACCAATATTTTTTTTTTTTCAATTTTTATTACATTCACATCTAATGCATGGAGAGTACATACATATATATGTATATATATGAATAATGTGGCAGTCCAATAGCACCATTCCTAATAATAAAGTTGATTGTATTTTATATATGTACATAATAGTATATTCCTTTGGTATTTTATCAATCCATATATCATGTTCTTAATGTAACGCCCACCTATACAGAAATGACTGCTTGCTTCCAAATCAGTGTAAATGATATTATTAGTGACTCTAGTAGAATTGGACTAGAAATAAACATGGTTAATATCAACAGAAGTTGCTGGCATTCTTTCACACACATCACGGATACACAATTTACGTCTGAAATCTAGGTTGTAAACCAACCACACATGGCGACATTTAACACCAGTTTGATGACTCACATGGGTGTTGAAATATAATACAACATATTACGGTTCTTGTATGGCAATTCTCGTCCCTTATAGGGGAATGAATACACAAAAGGAGGTAATAGATTATCAGAATGAAGATAAACAGATACACAGATTGCAATATTTATCGCTCTAATTGAGAGAGATTATACGTGTATATATATATATGTCATTTGAATAGGTTATACTATCTAAATGCTATTTATATTTACATTTGAATTGACGCACGTTGTTGAGTTCACAAAAACTCATCATACACACATACTGTTCTAAAGTCTAAATATTGATTCACTCTAGAAATGAAATGACATTTTCATTCTTTTTCACAAATCTATATGCTATTCAAAAACAAGAACATTTCAAACAAGTAGAATAATGACAAACCAAATAATATACAAATGGAAACCCAAGCTTTCAAGGCAAGAATACTATCGTATTCTACCGTATTTACGCATCTTCAATAGAAGTACAAAAAAATGTACAAATAAACCCAAAATTCCAGTTATTGTAAGCTGGATCATTAAAATAATACTTATTTTGTCCAAGATACATTTACATTTGGGCTACTAATAGAGCGAAAATAATACATGTACATGTATGTGTAAAAAGCTATAAAAACAGCACTCTCCATGTCCTTGTCCATGTCCAAGCCCAAGCCCAACAATAATTAATACATTCAGTTCAATATTGTACCAAGCTTGGTTGGTTCCAACACAAATGGTCATTTGTTACGAAATAAATACATTTCAACGAATCAAAATAAACAAAAAGATAAACAAGATGAAGAAAACGTAACAAAAATAAAAGACACATTGGGTGTCCACCCTGAGAACAAATTGTTGTAACCATGGCAATAAAACTCATCACACACTTTCTATTCTTGGAAGATTCCAAATTCTGATTCGCACAGAACAATTTGCATAAAGTTTCTCTTTCGGTCACAATACTATAACATACAATGAAAGAAAATGTAAAACATGAACAACAAACAACTTTCCATTCATTTACAATCTCCTCATGGAGACACGACATGACACGCGGTGAAAAATGCACTGTACGTGCATACACATTGGGTAGTACAATTTAAGTGATTATGGGTTGTATTCTCTTATTTTTACTTAAACTGTAAGCAATACTGTGGAATACTTTATTTTCGCTGGAATTAATTTTCGCTGAAAAGGCTTTTGGGGCGTTTTGTATGGAATTTATTTTCACTGATTTTTCACGAGTTTAATGTGAAATATAGGAAAAAAGTATATTCGCTGGATTTTATTTTCACGTAATCATCCCTTCAGCGAAAATAAATTCCAAGCGAAAATAAAGTATTCTACAGTATCTAGATCAAACTGTGAGCTGTGTAACTACAGTTATGCACAAATGAAAAGTATCAAAGCAATCTAAACTTATCATTAGAGCGCCCTCAAAAAAATAAAATCAGCATCAGCCTAAGCATTCCCTCAGCTATTAAAAATTAGCATTTTAGCACACTGAACTTAGCATTAGAGCGCCCTCAACTAATAAAATTAGCATTTGAATACACTGAACTTTTGCTTGTTCCCGGCGTCCTTTGTGAATGGTGCGCCATGACACTTGAGGCGGGAACCAGCTAACACTGAACTTAGCATTAGAGCGCCCTCAACAAATAAAGTTAGCATTTAAGCACTGAACTTTGAATTAGAGCGCCCTAAACTAATAAAATTAGCATTTGAAGACACTGAACTTTTGCTTGTTCCCGGGGTCCTTTGTGAATGGTGCGCCATGACACTTGAGGCGGGAACCAGCTAACACTGAACTTAGCATTAGAGCGCCCTCAACTAATAAAATTAGCATTTGAGTACTCTGAACTTTTGCTTGTTCCCAGGGTCCTTTGTGAATGGTGCGCCATGACACTTGAGGCGAGAACCAGCTAACACTGAACTTAGCATTAGAGCGCCCTCAACTAATAAAGTTAGCATTTAAGCACTGAACTTTGAATTAGAGCGCCCTCAACTAATAAAATTAGCATTTGAATACACTGAACTTTTGCTTGTTCCCGGGGTCCTTTGTGAATGGTGCGCCATGACACTTGAGGCGAGAACCAGCTAACACAGAACTTAGCATTAGAGCGCCCTCAACTAATAAAATTAGCATTTGAGTACTCTCAACTAATAGAATTAAATCACCATTGAATTTGAGTGCCACAGAATTTTTTTTTTTTATATTAGCATATTGCTATGATGATAAAAATTTATCGTCATAGAAATGTAGATTTAGAATAAAACTTGATTAATAGACCACACTCAACTATTCTGCACCATCAAATATGGCAGTAAAAACAGCTTGAAATATCCCAATAAAAACACAAGAAAACTAATGCATGAAAACATCACAACCAGCATAAGACTTGCATAAAGTTTCCCAATACCAGAAAAATACTTGTTCAAAACTGTAAATTTAGTAAAATCTACATACCGGTACATAGCAAAAATATTAAACACATTTGTAAGCAAGTCAAAGAGGCACAGATAATTTAAATAATTACACAGTAATTAGCAAATCTTGAATTACATTAATATTAATATTCAAATATTAAGTTTTTTTTGTTTTGTTTTTTTCAACAATCAAGCAGTTGGAGATATCCACAATCGTATTTAATATCCAAACAAAAATAAAAATTGTAAATAACCACCGCGATAGGTGCCAAAAATCTAATATGGGAAACAAAATTATGACATAATTATTATTCAGTGACAGTGCCACATAGTTGATCAAATTTCCCGTTACAAGTTTTTTATGTCACATGCAACACATACTAAACATAATAACTGTACAAAAACAAAACCTTCACAGCCTGAAGTCTGCTAGCTATCGCATGTTGCAATTGTTCTAAATAGCTGGATAATGGAGTAACGCTCACATTGCCTTGGTAACCAGTAAATATAATCTGACAAATATATATTCAGTAACAGGAAATAGAATAAATTTGTTTGTGCATGTATATGGCAGAGTAGGATAGGATGGGATATTTAACATTCTGGTCCAAAAAAAAATGGTGTAAAAAGACAATATTATTTACATTACAAATGTATTTTTTCTAAGAAGTTTCAGATAATAAGCCGATTCATATTTATTTTGTTTATTATCAACTCACGAGGGATTTTTTAAAATTCTCTTCAGTTTGTAGTCATAAACATGGCGGCAGAAATACGTCAGCTCCTTATCAATGTACTCTGAGGGAAGTCGGTCCTTTCGGGGGTATTCCTCGGCGAGTGGAACCAACGGTATCCCATTTTTGATGCCTTCCGCCGTCATTTTAACAACTCTACAGTGTCTGAAAGAGATGAAAATGAAACACAATTTTTTGATGGTCAGTCGTCATCAAGTGAGGTCATTGATCAGCCAGGTTTGTCGTTGCGAACCACGTCAAGCTTAGTTTATTCCATTTGATTTTCAGACATAGTAAATAATAACAGCTGTTGACTACCATGAACTTCAAAAAACAAATTCAATAGATCACTATAGCAACTTGGAGCACTCGACTCCACTAGAACAATATACTTGTTAAGGTAAAAAAGGGATCAATAAATTTGATATATTGTAACATATGCTATACATAAGTCACTGTGAAAAAAATGAAATGTGTCAAACAAGCATATGATGTCTATTATAACACATAAACACGCAAGGGAATCTCCTAGGATAATTTAATGAAAGGTATACGTGGCTAATGAAGCATATACCTGTTATATTCAGCAAGCGTGAGTACGTAACACCTGTCTTCTATGGTGGCTACGCTATTATGATCCTTGTGCTTCGATGCGAACAACTCAACCTACATAAAAAAAAAATGGCGTGATTATAAAATACTGTGTCAGGTAATTTTAATATACTAGAATTATTGATTTCTAATTGGGCCGATTGACTACAGGTGTTCGAAAACTAGCAAACAAAATGTCTTGATATATAACTGTACAGTTAAGATGCAATTCTATTTGTGGAATGATTTAAAATCTTATATTTAACCACGTCACTGATAATGTTTAATTCTGACCCAAATTTTTAATGCAGATATTTTGAATTTTCTATTCTTTGCAAAGTGGTTGTTATATATTCTGGTTGATAAATACCTTAGCACTGAAAATTTGTTACTGATTGATTTTCACAATTTTTGTCATACAACTTCATCCAAACACAAAAATCAATTACAGAGACTTTCACAGTCCCAAATTTGTAATAATTCACTAAAATCAAATATTTTTTAATTAAAATGGCATTGCATCTAATAAAAGATTATAATACATCAGTGAATGTTTGTTATAATTCACATTAAGAAAAAACGGCAAATTCTATAGACTATACCACATTATTCTCAGGACTAGATATGACACCTACCGGTATACAAACAACCATATACGATAATAAAGCAACAAGATTACAATGTGAATAATATATAAAAAATCTTACACACAAATTACAATAACCACTGGTACAAACCTCATGGTGATGGGGTTTTCTTCCACCTTCAATATGTTCCGGTCTATAATACCACAAAATGCTGACCATCAATTCACCTGAAATGAGTGAGAACAAGTTAACAGTGAGGGACGACAATGACAAGGACAGACACTTAGCCTGAATGAGTTTCTCTTCATATAGATTTTTTGATCTTAAATTATGAATATCATTTGTATCATACTGGAATATACTGTGTACACGGTTTTATTTGTCAATGATACAAATGTTCTTGATTTGGTGATGCTTTGTGAGGAAAAAATATCGAGATATTCTCTGCAACCCTCACAAAATTAAAGTGGTTTACCATATATTTACACGCAGCATGCTGCATTTAGAATAACAATAGCGCAAATTGTATGCACGTTATGAATATACTATAGCCATAAAGTCTGGAGGAGAGGCAATATCCGAGACATGGAACAGACGACATAGACTGTGATATCAAATAACTGACGTATTTGATATAATACTCAGAAAAAGATGTCTATACTAGTTGAACCCATTAAAACGCCAATTATTAATATGAAACTGAAAATTTTTTAAAATTACTTCATCCAGCCCGAGATGACTGCAGTAATTATTCTATTCAACTAAATTTGCTTATTAGTTATTAGAAGACCATACCTATATTTTGTGAGTACTGAAATACAAACGAGTAAACATTTTTTTATTTACAGCCTTTTCAGTTTTTGTTTATATTTCAAATGTACACTAACTAGTATCAATTACATATTTGTGTCAAAATGCAAATTAGTAATAAAATTATTTATTTCCTGAAAACTACTGATGGTAAAAGCATGAGCGTTTATAAAGTACCCCTGTAGGAGCCAAAGAAATTAATTTCCAGTTTTTGATGGGAGTTTTATAACTACAGCGAATATTAACATTAATATGTCATATCTCAAGCTGTCAATTGTTTTTTTTATAATATACACATTACATTATGTAATAACTTACACATTTAATAACTTATAGAGATAATTATAATTATATTGCTGTAGGTAATTGCTCCTAATTCTCTTTCACTAAACTTTTTCAGATTACAATTATCACCACACCTATTAACTAGAACCTTTTAATTTTCCATTACCATGGTAACACCTGAGTGGAGCAAAACAACTACATAATATCGTGACATAAAACAGTCTCCAAAACAATAATAAGAACAATTGCATTCAATAGCATCATTATTTCAAGATTTAATGGAAACATTTTATCATGTGGAGCATGCATTCATATTTCTGTCAGAGTTGTGACTCCTGACAAGCAACTTGTTGCCAGCAGTTACCCTTTCACACAGATGTTTTAACGCAAAAATATTAAGTGAAATGTATTTGCGGTAAATACAAAACATAATCAGACTAGGTATAGTTTATAAGCAATCTGAGCTGAGTGACATGAAAACCCTGTATAGAATGCTTGTCATTCTATAACCAGCTAGTTTTTGTTGATCATACATTTATTTCGCTGTCAATCTTGCCAC